TGGCTCCGCCGGCTCCGGAGCCGCGCCGGAGCCAGGCGCAGCGCGCCACGGCTAGGAGACCGATCACGCATATGACGGCGCAGAGCAGAGCCGCAAGTATGACGACGAAGTCTGACTCCAGAACCACTGCCTCAGGAGGCGGCGCGGCCGGGAAAGCTGACGAGTTGTTGGCGGCGCTGCTGCCTAGAAATCTCTGAGAGCGAGGCATGACTGGTCATACGACGAGCTGTCTAATGTCGGTTTTGAGAATTCGGTGCTGGAGAGAACCAAGAGAGAGAGAGAGAGAGAGAGAAAAGATCGGTTTTTCTGTTTCTGTTGGGTTTGGGTTTAGAGTGGTTTGGAGTTGGAGGGTTTTTATAAATACAGTTGAGAGAAAGTGGAAATGTTTGGAGAAGATAAAGTGATGAGAGAGAGGTAGGCAGGCAGAGTCGGCCCAGGTTGGTCCAGGTGGCTTGGATTTTCTAAATGCAGGTCATTCTTATCTGCATTATCTTTTTCTGCCTTAACCTATTATATTATTTGTTTTTGTAATTAACCGATTTAATTAATCTCTCTTTACTGCTTCACTTCACTGTCCTTTCAGTCTTTCAAGCTTCATCAATTATTAACCTCTTTAATCATTTAAGTTTTGCTTTGTTTACTCATTTCGACTCTCAATTAATTAGTATTCGACAGTCATGTGACGAGAAAGATAAATACGCAATTGTCGTAGATTACATTACAATTCTACTGTAAAAGCAATTAAAATGAATTATGGTTGATTTAAACACTTTTTGAGAAAACCCTAAGAAAAGTTTTATCCATCGCCCCTTTTGGGAGTTGGTGGCCTCCTTCCCTATCTCCTCTCATTTCCTTTCATCCTCTCTTTTCTCATGACTCCCTTTTTCCTTAAGATGTTAGTTTATTTTGTGATGTGAAAGCAGTTACCGTGAAACGATATCGTCGCCATGATATAATTATGTTAAATAAAAAGTAATCCGGTTTGTCCGAAGTGTAAACAAGGCTGTGTATTAAGACACATAAGAAAAGTTTTATTCATCGCCCCTTTTGGGAGTTGGTGGCCTCCTTCCCTACCTCCTCTCATTTCCTTTTATCCTCTCTTTTCTCATGACTCCCTTTTTCCTTAAGATGTTAGTTTATTTTGTGATGTGAAAGCAGTCGCCGTGAAACGATGTCGTCGTCATGATATAATTATATTAAATAAAAAGTAATCCGGTTTGTCCGAAGTGTAAACAAGGCTGTGTATTAAGACACCCTCTTTATATTAAAGGAGAATTAATAAGTGTCAGTATAATTAACTTTGTTTATGGTTCTGCAGCTGGCTTTCCACGGTTACGAATCTTGCCTTTAAAGTTTTAACCAATTCACTTTTATCATATTTAAGTTTCAAACTTTCAACCAAAATTAATATCTTTTAGGCAAACAACTAAAGATAAGGTGGTGGACCTTCAGAAGTCACCAATAAACAAGTTTAACCACTCCATCAACAAGGGGTAATGCTATTTGATTATCTCTTAGTTTCCCAGCTACCAACTCATACCAATAACAAAAACAGGAATTCATATACTCATACAATATTTCAATCATAGGTAAGGAAAAATACAACTGTGAATTTAAGTCATAATCATCAAATAACTATATTTTATACGGCAATTCTACACAAGAATTTCTCGTATTTTGTCTGTATACTCACAACAAAATATCATATCCTGAAAAATACCAGAGAATGACAAAGTGTTCTTGTTCGGTTTCGGAAACCATTTTGGAAAATTGGAATGGTAAAACTATACAGTCACCTTTCCATAGCCAAACTTCAATCCTTCTAAACTAAACTAGCCCAACTTGGAAATTGCAAAACAAAACCTTACTCCTTATGTTGGTACAAAAGCTGCAATATCTATATACATATGTTTCTTTTGCTTCAATTTCTTCTGCAAAATTCTAGAATTTAAGCTAAAGTTTTTGATTTAAGACTAATCATCTTTTTAAGCAATACTTTCACAGTGATGGAAATGTGCCGAGAATGTTTTCGCATGTTTTGTCCTTGTTGACTCCATATGGCCATAATTTGCCCTTGTTAGAGAAGCACCATGGTTTTAAATCATTGGAAGAATTATCCCAAAACAAAAATTGATGGGAAGTACATTGAAAAACCTACACAACAAGATTAGTTATTATTGCTTTCTTTAAAGTTTTAGGTGTGTGTTTATATGTCATCTCATCTACATGTGGCACACCTAATGATAAATCCCACATCTTGAGTAGGTTGTCAAGTTTAACCACTTCTTCCATCAAAATTTCCAACTAATGAAAATTAAGGCTGGACATGGTGGGGTTTGGATTGATTTTTGGCCGGAACCGATCACCGGACCGATTAACACTAATGAAAATAATGTGGATTTTGGGTAAACAAAGTCAGAAAAACCATGATCATATTAGTAGCTCTTTTCAATTAGGTGCATGCATTTCTGTTTTAGATATAGTTGACTTCTTCTGATTAACAATAATTTCACCTCATGGCTAGCTTTGTCATGTACAAGGGCAGCAAGAAAGCTTATGGGATGAATTAGCCACTTGCTTATGCTAAATTCAATTATGAGGTTGAATTTAGTCCCTTTATTTGGTTAAATACAGCCATTAAGTAATTGACGTCTTATTTTCATTGTTTTGTGAAATGATGGTATATATGAAGATGATGGTTCATTTCACATACAGGATCTAGGAGCTACAAAACAAAGCCGGATACAATGTTTTTAAAGAAAAAAGCTATCCCACTGTGGATTAGTGAAGTTAAGCCATATTTCAACATCTGTATCTCTCGCAAAATTTTATAGTAAGGGCGCCATATATGGATTTCTCATGTGGACTTTCATATTAACCACATGATAATTTCATTAAACTTAAGTGGAGTTACTATTTAGAGGAATCATGCGGCTAATATGAAGGTTCATATATATGATCCGTATATGACACCCTATGGAACGACTCTGCAACTGTCTGCCCAAGTTGGGCCACCCCTCTCTCCTTTCTGGGCACTGAAAATGACTTTAAAAATAATGCCTTTTGGTAGTTCAGGTTTGGGTCTTATCTTCTTCTGTGATTATCAAACTTTGATCAACACTGCACATGTTGAGCACCCATTTCTAATAGTATAATGGCCTGAGAGAGAAGAAAGGTACTTTATGAGCAGAAAAGCTCTCCTTTTTTTTTTTTTTTGGAGAGAGAATAATGATAGGATTTTATTGATAGAAAGCATAACTAGTATAAAAATCGGGTAATGTTGTCGGGAATTAGGCGAGTTTCTTATAAAGTACCCTCATCACTTAAGATCATACCTGTAAAAACTACTTGTTACAATCCTCAAATAGGTTTGCTATCCCAACCCATTTGTATTGTATATATGGGGTTTATTATTAATTCACCAAATGAGTAATTAATGAGCCATAAATTTGACAGTTGATATGCTTTAGAACAAGAAGCCCACGACAACAAACTCTTTGAAGCTACATGTCGGTTTTGGCTAATTTATGGAACGACATGGTTCATACCAAGTCAACACGTTCATGCCATTTGATGTTAACAAAAAAACCAAAGTGCAAGCACAAAACATTAGACAATTTGATGTGTTGGGCAAAAAGAGGAAGGCGGGCACAGGCAGAGCCAAACTCAAATCTTTCCCTGCCTACAAGAAAAATGCAGGTACAAGCAATGTTGTCTAACTATTTGCTTGCAGAGCAATAAAAATTATGTAAAAACAATGTGAAAGAAAAGGGTTTGAGATTTGATCAAGAAATTTTTTGAAATTTTAACATGTGGTCTCCACCTATTCGTTATCTGAAAATAGTTCAAGAATGTGCCCAAAACCCAAAAGAGTCTTTCTGAGAATCTCAACACTTTATTTAAAATGATTGAGAGCAATTTAGGAGCACAACAGATATGAGGACAGCTAAGCTTCATAAAAGGTTCATTAGACTCGAAAGAAAATCTTTGGTTGGATCCGCCCCTAGCTTTTACGCTTTGGCCTGTTGATTTTGAACATATGGAGCCTCCAATATCTTATCATGGTGGGTAGGGTAGGTAAAATGTACCAATGCGGACTGACAAGACGAGAGACACCAGTGTGTTCACGTCGAGAAAATCTTTAAGTGTAACCGATTGTACACAAAATATGCAAGTGCCTTGTCCTGATAGTGATAACTGTATCAATGTGAACCCAGTTCCAATTGTTCATCCACTTGAAAAGTTTCGGCCATTCTAATTGACAAGTCAAACCAAACCATGGGAGAGGCTTTCTTATCCAACTTTGGTCCCAACAATTTGGGAGCTATATGTTAAGGGGTGTGTTGAGGGTTCAATCCAGCCGTATAATATTAAGGCGTTCATTAATCAAACCGCTATTAAGGTCCCCTCATTACAGCCTCCAAGCCCTTAAGGGGATTAGGATCAGGCTATTTGTTCATTTCCTTAGAATTGAGTGGCTCCATTTGACACCCAGATGTGTTTAAACACCTAACCAAATTATAAAATTCTAGGGACGCCTAACCCTATTTTCAAAGATTCCAGACTACCATTCTTAAGAATTCTGAAAGAGAGTAAAAAGTGGGAGAGAAGTTTTTAATTAGAGATGTTCATAGACCACTTTTGAGTGTAAATATAAACACTCCTTATACTTTTTCATTCATGTATGCTACAAAATCCATCATGCAATACATAGCCAACAAGTATATCAGCTAAGATGAGATTCAGAATGATTGAGCAAAAACAATCAGGCCAGTGCAAACAGGAATTTTGTTGACTATTAGCTAGTAATGTATTAACAAGAAAGTTAATGTACAAGATATGCAAGTGCATGCAGCTGCATTTCAAATAATTTTACTAACATTTCTCCCTCGTAAAAAAAATTTAACACAACAAGATGTCATCTGTTCATCATGTTTCTTTATCCGGGGCAGGCTTGGCGAATGAGAAATCGTCTGGATTATTGGTTTGTTCGTTGTCGTGGGGTTCGATTTTTTCAGTTTCCTGCTCCATTTGATCCACTCTTACAATCAAGTTTGTTGTTGATGTGGGTGACAAAGGATCAGTTTCAAGATCAGATGTCTCATGATCATCAAAGACGGATGAGTGGGTTGAGTGACCAGTTGTTTTGAAACGATGCAGCGTGTGTCCTCCGGAGGAGTGCACCGTTGAAAGAGTCGAGCTCCCGCCACCCAGGGTTTGAGTAGGAGACTTGCCACCATGGGTCCCACCGTGCTTCTTCTTCACAGCCATGTGCCACTTCTTAAGGGCCTTGGATGTTTGTTCATCAAAGATGGATTTCTTCATGTATGAACCCATCTGCAACGTTCACCACAACAATTTTTCATCCAGTTTAATTATACACAATTCATAGGATAATGGCATAAGGCACTCCAAGATTCATGCATGAAGAAACTCGGAATTTCAAATAATAATACCTGAGTTACAAGGGCATACAGTGGAAGTGTAATGTAGCTGCACAAACATAGAACCCCAACCCTGCAAGATACTCACCAAATTACATATGTAAGACTCCCATTAGATCCAAGCAAGAACATTAAATCAAGAGAGATAATGCTTACCCTAAAAATACTTTTGCGATTGCAAGCTTGAAATTGGCATGGAAGCAAGATTTCAACCCAAATGAATACTGCAGAAAGGTTGTCAGTCAAGATTTGAGTATTAGACATGAGATGCAATTTGAAGAGAGTGATAGAAATAGAAGTGGGAACAGTTCTTTACCCATATCCAGAAGAAATATATAATTTGGAATGCATTCTGCATGTAACAGAAAACTGATTAGATGGTCAATAATAGAGAGTACGAGAAATCAGAACAAACTACTCAAAGATATTAGAGTGTGCAAAAGAGAAGGCAATCCAATACCTGAAACAGCGCAAAATGGATAAGATGAAGAACCAACTGAGGCCGAGCAAACCAAAAATATTTATCAGAGCCTTGTACTAGAGGAATCCCTTGAACCACTGCATGCCTTTCTGTAATTTCTAGGGCCATCTTAGTCAGGATGGCTTGAAGTTTTGTTCCAACTAGTAAGATTATCTACATTTACATAAGTGGTCAGAAACTTCAGTTTTCCAACTAAACTGGATTATCTTTTCACAAAAATACAATGTCTTACAATGAGAGGGATCAAGGATGCCCAAAACAATGCCTGCCATCCTGAAAGAACATTATTATACAGTAAAGTCAATCAATTAAATTGAACTATAAAGTCAGAATAAATATAATTTAAAAGGATTTTTCAAGGGAGAAGTAGCTTACCTTCAACATTAAGGAGCAAAAAGATCACAAATGATGCCCACAATACAGGACTGCCAACAACATGAAGAAACAATTCAGGATATTTGTACTCCAAACTAAACAAGGCAGGATTGGCTAGTAAAATCTACAGCTGGTGATGATAAATATTGATATTACCTAACTCCAACAACGACCTTGAAGTCATCCTCTAATGATCTCTTGATATATTTTTGGAAGTTAAATTTACTTCCTGGACCTAAATGGACCTGAGACATATGGCATTTCGATAAATGGGATGATACATTCAATATGGAATTCTCAAATTTTTGAAATTGATGAAACTCACAGTGATGAATCCATTGCGCACTGTTAAGTAGTCAGACTTACTAACAGACCTAAAAAATTGTCGAAAGAAGCATCCCTGCAAAATATAAGTTTAAGAAGTTCAGTTTTAACATAGCAAGAATACAGAAACTCTGAGACTACCAAAATGTAGTTAACTTCTAACAGCCTACTAGGTTTGACTATGTAATTGCAAGTTGCAAAATCCATATGCCCTATATTTTTCTCATAGCATCCTTGTATCAGTTGTGCTCATCTTATGGACATTACTAAAACTACCACAATTATGACTTCGAAGTCAGTCTTAATATAATGTCCCTTGTACCTCTACCCTACCGACATATTCTGTCACTATCAGTCAAAAGGAAAGAACAGGAAAAATCAGAAATTTAGTGGAAGATGTCTTACAACATAAAAGAAGAATGGAATCCTAGTCCAGAAACTGGTATGTGCTCTAACAAATGATGTCTCGTGGGTAAGTCTGAATCTCGAAGGATCTGCCCAGAAAACATAATCAAGTTTAGCTTCCAACAAAGATCTTTAGCTATCAAGACATTGGAATATTTATACACAAGAGTGAGGGAATGTGTGCATCAAGGGATCATATACCATTTGAGAACTCATAGTTATGGGATGAAGTCTCTGCCTCCCACTGCTTCCAGCCTCGAATCTGTGGAGAGAAACATGCATAAAACAAGGAATATATCATTAAATGCGAAGTTAATAAAAACTGTTTACACGGTAAGGTAGATTGATTAACATGGCAAGTCCTGTTCAAGTTCATTAGTCGCAAAAGGGAACAAAGAGAATTTATAAGTCAATTTCTTGCCAATTTCTGTACCTTTAGCCTTCCAAGCAGCATTGTGATAGCACTGTATAACACATGAAAGACTGCCAAGAAGAATATGAGGATGTGCAATTGGTGCAATCCATTAATTGATATAAGTGGCTCATACCCCTGTTAACAAAAATCAGATTGGCTATCATCCACATGACTGCTTGTTAGTTCATATGGTGATGAAAAAACTATATAGACGATCTTTGATATAGAAAAGTATTCACCTAAATAGAAAACAATATAACAGAAAGGTGGAGAGGGTGAAATTCTTGGAAAATCTTAAAGTTGCAGATCCATGAGAAACATGTGGGCTAACTCACTAGGACTCAGCTACATACTAATTAATTCATTTTACTAAGTGTTCAAAAGTATTATACATTGAATTGGTTAAGGGATGAACAAGTTTAGACAGATCAAATTTCAGCCACCCAATACTCCTTATAGTATATGCAGGGCCCCGGTGCCAAACGTAATGGATAACTTAATTTTTAGGCCTCATGGGCATTGAACCAACCCTTAGGGTTCAGACCAAATCAATTGTTCAATCCATACATGTCTACCACTCACAAATTCAATATGAAAAAAGATACAAAAGATATACGATATTTCACTTTCTTAATCATATTATGACCAATTCTCTACTGTCAATCAAACTGCTTGAGTCCAGTGGCGAGGAAGAGGATATACTTACAGTCTTGCATTTATAATCAGAGGCAGCAGCTAAAGATCTTCGGTCATACCATAAGAGTCTCCGGTGACTAGTTGTTGAGTCATCCTCCTCATCTTTTACAGTACATGGCAGCATAGTATCTGCAACCTTGAGTGAAATACAGATTCTGGCAATGTAACTCTGCCCAAAAGTCAGGAGTAGTGAAATAAAGCCTAGAATCATCAACTCTGCAACAATTTCATCATAGTCAAATGCGTATCCATTAACTGGATGTTTCAGGAAATGATTCAAATAAATAAAAAAATAGTATTTATAAGGAATAAAACATGATGAAAATGATTTAATTTTTTAATCAAGTTCATCATTCTGCGAGATAGACATGATTTAATTTTTTAATGCATCTCACCTGCTTTAACCTTCTCCAGAGCTTCAAACAGAGCTCTCTTGTGCCTATCCGTGAGGAACTGAATTGAAAGTTTTTTGAGGTCAGAATAAAGTTAATCAAAAGAGACGACATTGTCAAATTAATAAATTGTTCTTCCACCAAACAGAACAACACATCAACTTCTAGTTTCAAGAAATTCATTGTATGTGAACTAAACCCAAAATGAAAAGAACATGAAAATAAACAGTATTATAAATGTTAGATTATCAATCTCATAACAAGAGCAGCCATGATAATGAACAAGATACTGGGAAGGAGAAAAATGGGTAAATTTCATTAAATTTAAGAAAAATTAATATGGACCCTCAATCCTTTCGTTTAAATCCAAGCACTTTTTTAAACTTTCATTTCCTCTAAAAACTTAAGAAGTCATTAATAATGAAAAATCTTCAACCAAAAAGAAAAATAGGGCGTTAATATAAACCAAGGAATCCAAAAGAAAAAGACAGCCCATAAACATAAAATTCCATCAATGGTGGCAAATTTTCCTGCTACAAAGAAATCCAGGAAAAACCATAAACAAAACCACTGGGATAGCTGACAGTCAAACTGTGGTCAATAAAGCTTAGGCAACTTGAGCTGCGATCTAAGATTTGCAGCAAATTAATAAGGCAGCCACGTGAGAAGAAGAAAGTCACCAATAGACATTAAGAAACGGACCAAAGCTGAAAAGGTAAATTGTTCAATTGCAGTTACAGAGAAATTTACCGTTCCAACTTTGTGAAGGACCGTCTCCAAAGCCAATGAGATGATGATGATAATGGCGCAGACACCAGAAACAGCCCACGTGGGTGTACGGTCAAGGTCCCTCGACTGTGAGCTACTCTCTGATGCTGCCATAGCCACACCCACCAACCCGAGCCACAGGCCCAGACCCAGAGAGAAAGGCACCATCTTTTTGAATCTTGAGCTTCGGAGAGATAACAGGGGAGGCTGTTCTGAAACCAACAGCTGCGTTGGGCTGCAATTGATTGATTTGGGCACCTTTATATTGGAAAAAAAAAATACGTGTTTTTTTCTTAGTTTCCTTTTCTGGGTTTAAGAGAGAGAGAGGTTTTGATAACAATGGGATGGTGATTTGGTGAAAATTTGAGGAGCAGGTCGATTTACACACGGTTTCTTTAATTATGTTCTTGACCAGAAAAAACCCATTTCCCAAATTTAATTCCTTTATAAAAAAAAATTATTTCCAAATGTTAAAGCAGCAGTTTTGATTTGGTGAAGGCTGGAAGCAATAATAGGAATCAATGGCTTTTGTCTTTTATAACGGCTAAACAAAAACATATGCAAATAAATAAATAAATAAATAAGGTAAAAAAAAAAGTTGCTCAGTGTTTTACTGGATTAAGACATGCTCGCTTGCATTGTGCCATCATTTATGGGGAAACTGCATTGCCATGTGCACTGCCATTGTCATCCAGCTGAGCTGCTGAGGTCAAATACTTATGGCGCTTTTCGCTTTAGTTTGGCCCACTGCTCTGCTGACCAATTAGGTCTTTGCATCCACACCAGTGCCACCACATCAAAACAAAAATAAAAAATAAAAAATAAGAACAGAAAAAGGACATAGAAAAAGGTTGATGATCACTCGTATGAAACGGAGATAACATTGTTTTGTTATTTTCGAGGTTTTATGTAAGTGTTTCTTGACAAAGGAAGCCCTTGTATTTTTTATTTATTTTATATTACTTTACACATTAAAGAACCTACCAATATACTGACCGAAAACAAAAACAAAAAACAAAAAACAAAAACCAACCAGTAAACTAATGGCCTCAGTTTTCTGCTTTATTCCTTTTCAAGGAAGAGAAGAGGTACTGCATGGAAGTGGGGAACTTTTAGCATTTATCTTTACATTCCCTGAATAAACTACCAAAATAGAAATACATGCATGCATGCTGATGCATCTAAAGTTTCTTTTGAGTCCAATTTGATGTCACAAATAACTCAATGATGAAGTAAATTTATTTCAATTCTAAAAAAAGTTCGGAAATTTTATGTTTTACTCGATCGTTCTGGGAACGTGAGGGAGGGGGGGAGAGGAGACTTTAGGAGAAGTGACCCGATGCACGCGGGTGCATGCTCTGTTTGCTATTCTGTTGGCTCAGCTGGTACTTCTCCATTTAGTCTAAAATGCCCAAAAATTTCCAGTGTGAATTTGTAAAGGTAAAAAGGGAAAACAAGAAAAGCCCATGCATCGTCGCACATGGAGGTTTGTATGAAATTGACCAAATGCAGAAAGCACATAGCTTTCAATTAGACTCTTGTCGTTTCTCTCTCTACATATTTTTATATTTGCTTCCAAGAAACGCATGGCGTTATTAATGGTTTCATTTTTAATTCTCGGATCCTCCATTTTATTTTCTTATTCAGAAGTGAAGAAACGTGCATGAAAGCTAGGGCATAATATAATTATAATCATGGGCTCGAAATGGTAAATATGATATTTTCATTTCCCCTTTTATTTTTTTCTTCATGTGTTGTAATGAATCGTGCACCAACTAGTTTTTTAGGCTACGTTTGGTTCATGAGAAAGGAATCTTGGGGATGGGAAACCAATTGTTTTCCCATGTTTGGTAAGTCAAGCATGGGAAAGCGTTGCCTATGACATGGGAAAGTATGAGGGAAAGTGAATCCTTCCTTCCTACTTGGGTTTCACTTTCCATTCCCATGGGAAAGTAAGACTAACTATTTTTTGACTAATTTGTCCTTACTAACAATTCATAATTACAGTTTTTATCCAACAATAATTGGTGCGTTATTAATGGTTTCATTTTTAATTCTCGGATCCTCCATTTTATTTTCTTATTCAGAAGTGAAGAAACGTGCATGAAAGCTTGGGCATAATATAGTTATAATCATGGGCTCGAAATGGTAAATATGATATTTTCATTTTCCCTTTTATTTTTATCTTCATGTGTTGTAATGAGTGATATATCGTAGATTCGTATACCAACTAGTTTTTTAGTCTTATCGAAATGTTCAAACATGCGTTGATAGTTGATTAGAAAAAACCGTGACACGAAGTTGTCAAGAAACCAAGTTATATCTAACACACAATTGATTATGCTCAACTTTTAAATGCTTCGTTTTCAATTGGGGTTTAGTCAACCGTGTATAAAGTGCTCCAAATTTGCAAATTGATGATGACACAAAATAATCCCCGGTGGCCTCAATGCTAATTCAAGGTAATTATTGACTTAATAAAAAAAAATTATGTCCTAATTACATAACATTTTTATTTTTATCTCTCTTCTTACGCGATAAGTGATGATAAGTTGATAACACGACAAAATGAATGGTATGTAGCAAGATAAGAAACATATGGATGCTAGAAAAACCTTAAATTAACGCTAACGTGTGGGTCGGTTCATGACCATGGCTGAACCCAACAACTGCAGAGCCTCTGACTCACTCAGTTCCATCAATTAGGTATGGTCAGCTCATCACCCTCTCCAAGCAAAATTCTATATTAAATCATTTTCAAGTTGATTTTATTTATTTTTTTATTTATTTATAAATGAAAGTGAAATCCATGCCAATCAGCCACCCAACACAACTTGATGCTATCCATTCACATTATTTTATACCATGGACCCACCCCAGGTGCATAAGAATCTTTCTTTATTGGAAAAACTAAAACAAAAAAGACAGGTCAAATCTCAAATGTGGATGGAGGAGAGTGTGCCTGTTGGTCAATGATTTATATATTTTATATTGAGATATTTAGTTATATACTTATTCTTAGCACTAAAACTATAAATAAACTCTACATTATTTAATTTCTATAAACAAACAAAAAAAAAACTCAAAAAATGATAGCTGGCCCTATTGAATTTAATTTTGATTATTAAATTACTTTAATGCCCTATTGAGTGTTTTGGGTATTTTTATGAGGTTTTGGCGTTGAGTTTGTTTTAAGAAATCAATGGCAGTTTTATAATTTAAAAAAAGTTAAAAGCCTTTTTGTTATGTTGTAAATGAGTTTTGGATATGTTTCTAAAGTCCATTTTATATAGGTTTTCAATTAGGTATGGTCAGCTCATCACCCTCTCCAAGCAAAATTCTATATTAAATCATTTTCAAGTTGATTTTATTTATTTTTTATTTATTTATAAATGAAAGTGAAATCATGCCAATCAGCCACCCAACACAACTTGATGCTATCCATTCACATTATTTTATACCATGGACCCACCCAGGTTTTATTGGAAAAAACAAAAACAAAAAAGATAGGTCAAATCTCAGATGTGGATGGAGGAGGGTGTGCCTGTTGGTCAACGATTTATATATTTTATATTGAAATATTTAGTTATATATTTATTCTTAGCACTAAAATTATAAATAAATCTTACATTATTTAATTTCTATAAACAAACCCAAAAAAACTCAAAAAATGATAGCTGGCCATATTAAGTTTAATTTTGATTGTTAAATTACTTAGATACTCTATTGAGTGTTTTGAACTTTTTAATGAGATTTTGGGGTTGGGTTTATTTTATGAAATCAATGACAGTTTTGTAATTTAAAAGAAGTTAAAAGCTTTTTTGTTATATTGTAAATGGACTTTGGGTGTATTTCTAAAGTCAATTTCATATAGGTTTTTTTATATATATAATTTGAGCTCCTATATTTGGTATAATAATAAATCTCCCTTAATATATACATCAAATTAAGCTAAACCCTAGAATCAATCAACGGTTCAGAGGTTTTGTAATGTAATCATATTGGTCAGAAATTGCTTGGTTGGCCCATGTACTCCCCCATGACATGATCAATAAAAATAAAGTTTCTAGCACCCCATTAACAAGCAACTTAGCAAAATCTAGAAACTAGTAGACTGGTAGTCACCCCATCAACATCAAACCCATGTTAATAATCTACAAACCAAGTCAAAAGGGTCACGACTGGGAGGAAAGAACCCATGCCAATTGGGTCATGAACCGCGTTGGACCATTTCTTTTTCATCATGATTTGGATTTGCCCTTTTTTTGGGTCATGATTTGGGTTGGAACGTTTCTTTTGGGTTATAATTTGGATTGAACCCAGGTGCAAGTCACAATATCTAAAAGTGTGCAAAGCTTCCATGAGGAATGATCTTATCCTTGCTAGTTTTTCAAAATTATATATATATATTTTTAATGCATAGAGTTCGGTAATATTCTAATTTGTGAGGCTAGTTTTTTTTGTTGTTGATACAATTGATAGTACTTTAAATTAAAGTAATTTACCTATAAGAGAGCAGACTCGCTATTCTACTCAACTTATCCAAATCTATAGAAGAGGGAGATTTCTCTCACATACACAATTATGATGATGTAGGGATTCGAACATGAGACTTCTGGTATGCGAGTTAATGCCTCTTTTCACTGGGCTAGACTCCGTTAGCACCTGAAATAATTTTTTGTTGATTACTTGATGTGAATTTGAGGATATTATTACTCGGTCCTTAATTTTTTTTGGGGGTCACAAAGACGCTCAAGGCCCAATGAGTCTAACAACAACAAATGAATTTGGCCCATTTGGCCACTCCAGCCCAAGTTAAGGCCTGAAAGATCTGAACCTCATCATTTTGATATCTAAATTTTTTAAATAAAAAAAGTTTTAAAATGTTGTTAATATTGTCTGATCTTGAAGGTTGGGAACAAGGCGATAGTTCGATAATATCGAAACACAAAATTTGTAACCGCTGGAATAGCAAGTCGTCTCGTCAGTCTCTCTCTCTGCGTCTCTCTGTTTCTGAGTTTGTGTATTGTGAAGTTGAAGACGATGAGTGCTCTACCGAGTTCGTTCGTTTCAGTTCGAAATCCCAAAACCCACTTCTTAGCTGGTAATCATTTCATCCTCTTTGATTTTTTTCCTTCTCTCTTGTGTTTATCCATTCAAAGATTGTAATTTAGTTGCTGTGATATGTTGGTTTGTGTAGTTAATCGGATCACTCCTGAAATTGTAGATTTCTCAGCCTTTGTTGATCTAGCAAATTAGTCTACGAGCTCTTTTATGGATTTGTTTGTTTAATGCAAGCTAAGGCTCCATTTGTGAAGGATTAGAAACTGAAATGTAAGAGATACCCATTTTCTAGTTCTCTGATGTTTGTGGGTCTATGTGAATTTGCTGGTTGTCTTTTTCATTGGAAGAGTCCTAAGATTCAATCCCACCTTCTGTTACTTTTCTATCAATAAACCAATTGTCTGTACATGCTATCTTACTTCAGTTAAGCAGTTGAACGCTAATTTAAAGGGTATTATTAGATTAATTTCTTGGGCATATAACGCTTGCAAGTTGTTAAGTGTGAATTAGAGGTGCATGGTTGGAACTTTTGGATGCACCAGCTGGTATTTCTGAGCTTCTTGGTCCATCTTTTTTATTATTTTTTATATCGGGCATGTTAGTTGGGTATTTAATTAATTCTCCTTCATCTTGGATCGAACTCAATACTTTTCATGAGACCCTGTCTACCATGTCTAAACATTGCATGTTGAAGTTTTTACGTTTGAATTTCACATTTTAAAATTTTTAATTTTTTTGTTAATTATTGCCTAATGTTTGATGCTAGGTTCTTCTTCGAAGCCAATGTACCAGTGTCTTTTGAATGTTAGCCCCAGTAATCTAAATTCCACTTCATATAGAAGGCCTCTTGTTGTCCGAGCAGGGTATGCCTATTTTTATGTTCTGAATATAAGTTTCAAGCAGTTGCTTAGGAGATAGTATAACAGCTAACCATGAGTGTCTGAATGTTTCAATGTTTCAAGTTTAGTTTTTATCTTTTAAATATCTCTTAGTAGACTAGTTCTTGTATTGATACTGCTTCCCTTCAATTCTGTTTCTTTTTGCTAGTACAGTGGGGACAGACCAAGTTCTGCGAGTATCTTTGTTGGTGGGTTTGTATTGGGGGGGATTGTTGTTGGAGCATTAGGTTGTGTATATGCGCCTCAGGTATGGTCGAAGTACTCACCTTTTGTATCTATCATAGTTTGACCTGTTACCATTGCATTAGGTCTCTGTGTGGCCTCGACGGTTACAATCTCTTTGTGTCTATGTATTTGCATTCCCTCACCTACATGTGCTTGTATGTGTGAATTAATGATTCATGATTGAATATCTCTTCATCGTCTATTGCAAGGCTTTAGAATGTTACTGCAGTACTGCAGTCTGATTCTTGTGCCTATACGACATAGATTCTGCCCCACTTCTCCCTTCCGAAGTTTACTGGAGAATTGGGAAAGTCATGTAGTTCTCTGTTAAATGTTATATGGTGGTGTATTCATTGATTATTGGACATGAGCGGCCGGATTAAGGGATAAGAGGGGTTGCTTGGCCCCACCAGTTGTGGATCCAGGATTCTTGGGTCATAGGGTCACAGTGTAAAAAGTGTTGAAATTTTTTTAGACTAACTGTTGAGGTATTTTTAGGACAAATGAGTCATTTTCTATCCAATTATTTTTTTAAAAAATTTTTTATTTCACATTAAAAAAAAGGTGGAAACAGGGGACTGCATTAATTTTTAAAAAAACAACAACATCATGGCACGGAGACTTTAGTTTGGCCCTCTTGGCAGTCCCCTGTTTCCTCTATTTTTTAATGTGAAATAAATTTTTTTTAAAAAAATGGATAGAAAATGACTCATTTGTCCTAAAAATACCTCAACAGTTAGTCTAAATTTTTTTTTACACTTTTTACCCTATGACCCGAGAATCCTGGTTCGGCCATTGGCCATGGATGTGGTTTTTATGGGCTATACAACCTGAAACATGCATTTGACTGCAATATCATCTTTCCAGATAAGCAAGGCACTAGCTGGAGCCGACAGAAAAGATTTGATGAGGAAGCTACCAAAGTTTATTTATGATGAAGAGAAAGCTCTTGAGGTGAGAATTTATTTTGTTCTAGCAACGAGAAAGAAGGGAGGGGGTTAAAAATAGAATGAAAATTTTATGGTTAAGTGAAGAGGGGAATTTGACCTGTGCTTTCTTAGGCCATTGGTGAGATGTGCACCAAGGTCTGGCCTTGAATTGTAATACATAAATATCTGTAGGGTGTTGATTGGTCAATCTCCTGAAGTATTTGATTTGAATCATGTTATCTGGGATGTTAATTATCATATTTGATCTGACTTATATGTTTCCGCTTGGCTGTTTTGTGATGACAGAAAACCCGTAAAATACTGGCTGAGAAGATTGCACAGCTAAACTCCGCCATAGACGATGTTTCAGCTCAGCTGCATGCAGATGATGCCCCAAATGGAGCTGCAGTGGCTTCAGATGAAGTTGAAGCTTCCATATAATAGAATGCTTGCAGAGTTTTTGTTTAACTTGGTACATGTGTTTAGCAGTGGGACAATAATGTTTCAAATCTTCTTCCCGTGTGTTTTTCTTGTTCATAAATACGTAGAAAACAGCAGCAATTGAAAACCATCATAGTTGCTGCAACACTATTTGCTTTAAGACTATCAATTACTTCTCACTTGCTCTTTGTGGATAGCAAGCTTCTCAGTATTGTACTGGACTGGGCTATAGTTTTCCACTGGTTCAGCATGGATCTTATGAAAACTACGGCGTTTTAAGTTGTAATAAAGGATCTTCCTTCAACGACATGTCGTTTAAAATTTGACATGGCCCTATTGCATCTTGGTTGCCAATGGGCGCAAAAGAACAAAATGCCCACCAGGTATAAACCATAATGACTGCACATGTATAACACACATCTTTGGTCTTCCATTAGAGTTGTCAAATATCAAGAATATGCAAGAGCACTCCTCAATGCAATCCCGTTATACTCTCATTTTAGATGGGGTGAATTCTTTTGTGTGGGTTGGCTTGATCGGTTGAGCAAGGGCACTTGTATTTATATGCATCTACCTAAGAGTCTTGCCCATTAAAAAACTCTTAAGAAGTTTTTATTGCATTAGGTTTATAACTTCTAATCCACAATTAAGATAGGAATCCTTCTAGCTCTTATATAGAGCTGCAGGTTTAGTTGTATTTGAGCTCCTAATTGATATCAAGTCTTAGAATCCTTTGATGATAATAAGACAACACTTTAACATATATATATATGTTTAACATCAAGCCCATACACAGATCCTCATAATCCAATTGAAGATGAAAACCCAATTAAGATTCTAAAGTTAAAATCACTTCTTCTTATATATATTTTTTTATTTTCATTGGATTTCAACTTTATAGTTTGCTTGGAAATGCCTATTTTACATATAGAGAAAGGTATATTTGGAGCTGGTAGCTAAAATGATTAAGAGTATTTATTATTGTACATCAAATCCTATCTCCGTTGAGTAGTCTGTTTTTAGGGTTTATCCCCCCATTTC